CACCGCCCCCCCCCCCAAGTCTACTGATTTCAATGTTAATCTCACCTAAAAATACCTCCATGGAAACATCTAGGATAGTGTTTGATCAAATATTGGTATTGTGGCCCAGCCAAGTTAACACATTAACCATCACACTTTTTAATTAACTTTATTAAGGTATAATTTACATACAATGCAACCATTTTAAATGTACAATTTGGGGAGTTTTGACACATGTATGCACCCATGTCACTACCACCATGATCAAGATAGAAAACATTCCCATCACCCCATAGAAAGTTCTCCTTTGTCCCTTGCCAGTCAATTCCTGCCCCTTGCTTTCTTTACTGTCACACAAAACAAAATAGTAACTTTATTTTTTTAAATGTTTTGTTTATTTTTGAGAGAGAGAGAGAGAGAGACAGATCACGAGTAGGGGAGGGGCAGGGAGAGAGGGAGACACAGAATCTGAGGCAGACTTCAACCTCTAATCTGTCAGCACAGAGCCTGACACGGGGCTTGAACCCATGAACTGCGAGATCATGACCTGAGCCAAGTCAGAAGCTTAGCTGCCTGGGCCTCTCGAGGCGCCCCCAAAATAGTAACTTTAATTTGTGGTCACACAACCGTCACTTCTGGTTTGTTAAGTTTACATCTCTTCTTTCAGTTTTTAAAAAATATTTATTTTTGAGAGAGAAAGAAAGAGAGAGGGGGGAGAGAGGCAGAGAGAGAGGATCTGAAGCGGGCTCTGAGTGGTCAGCCCAGAGCCCGACACGGGGCTCGAGCTCCCAAACTGCAGGATCGTGACCCGAGCCGAAGTTGGATGCTTAACTGACTGAGCCACGCAGGTGTTCCTTCTTTCAGTTCTACTGAGATATAATTGACATATAACTCTGTGGAAGTTTAAAATGTACAGCCTCATGACTTGATTTACATATGCTATGAAGTGATTACATAGTTTAGTTAACACCTATCGCCTTGTATAGACACCAAAAAAAGACAAAACTGGGTTTTTCCTTGTGATGAGAACTACTCTCTTGCAAAGCGCCCTTCTCATCACCTCATTCAGAAGCACACGACTTACCACTGATGATACTAATCTTGATCCCTTGGTTAAGGGTGGCTCCTGTCCCCTTTCTCCACTGTAAACTTACCATTTTCCCCTTTCCGTGCTCTGTCCTTTGGAAGAGAGTCGCTAATTTCAGTCCAACCTCAAGAGGAGATAGGAGAGGGGGGGCGCGCCCGGGTGGCTCAGTCAGTTAAGCGTCTGACATGGCTCAGGTCATGATCTCACGGCTCTTGAGTTCAAGCCCCGCGTCGGGCTCTGTGCTGACGGCTCGGAGCCTGGAGCCTGCTTCGGATTCTGTGGCTCCCTCTCTCTCTGCCCCTCCCCCATTCATGTTCTGTCTCTCTCTGTCTCAAAAATAAACGCTAAAAAAAATTAAAATTCTTCTCTAAGGAAGATTTGCCTCTTTCCCCCTTGTTATTTATTTGTTCAATCACCTATTTGCATCACTATGGACTCATATATTTACTTCATACTCTGGATTGTAATCTAATACTGTATTATTTATTTTGTTGTTCAAATTGTTCCACTCGTGTCCACAGGGAGCTCATTCAGGCTGGCTCTTGTGTCCTTTGCAATGACCCCATCTTTTTGTTTCTTGAGCACTTCCTTGACTTCTGGCACTGGAAGATTCTCCGGCCTCTTCTTCTATTAACTCTGCCTCAGCCCTACGATCTGCTGTTTTTTTCAAGGAGACTTCATTCCTTTTAGCAAAAGAATGATATTTAGAAGCAACTCCTGGGGGGTGCCTGAGTGGCTCAGTTGGTTGAGTGTCCAACTCTTGATTTTGGCTCAGGTCATGATTCCTGGGTCATGGGCTTGAGCCCTTCATAGGACTCATGCTGTGCATGGAGCCTGCCTGGGATTCTCTCTCTCTCTCTCTCTCTCTCTCCCTCTCCTTCTGCTCTCTCCCCTGCTCGTGCTCTCTCTCTCTCTAAAATAAAGTTAAAAATTAAAAAAAAAAGTAGTGGGGTGCCCAGATGGCTCGGTCAGTTAAGTGTCCAACTTTGGCTCGGGTCACGATCTCGCGGTTTGTGAGTTCGAGCCCCACGTCAGGCTCTGTGCTGACGGTTCAGAGCTGGGAGCCTGCTTCAGATTCTGTGTCTCCCTCTTCTCCCTGTCCCTTCCCCACTCATGCTCTGTCTCTCTCTCGCTCTCTCTCAAAAATAAGTAAACATTAAAAAAAATTAAAAAACAAAAAGGAAGCAGCTTCTGGCTGCTCCAGGTATGCTGACTTAAAAAAAAAAAAAACAGCTTTATTGGGATATAATTCTTCTACCATATCATACAATTTACATGCTGACTTTTTTTTTTATAAATTTTTTTTTTCAACGTTTATTTATTTTT